CCTTTAATTTCTGATCCAGCACAAAGCTGGGAGACCCCCTAAAGTCATAAGAGGCCCACCAAGTCCGAACACGCTCCCCAAAACCTTCGACTTTTAACCACATCTTCTCAAACCTAAAAGGCTTTCTTCCACTGCCCCTCAAATCCCCAGATAATGATATAGGGAAATGATCAGAGTACACCCTCTCTAATCTCCTCTGCGTCACATCTAAATACTTAACCTCCCACTCCCTACTAACCAGAAACCGATCAATTCGGGAATGAACCGGTTGGTCCCGATTAGAAGACCAAGTAAAATCTCCCCCAATCATCGGTAGATCCACCAACATATTCTCCCTAGTGAAATCTGAGAACTCCTCCATAGCCCCTGTAAGTCTCCCACCACTCGACCTCTCAGCAGGAAATCGAACCACATTGAAATCACCCCCAATACACGTTGGGAGACTCCACCATGCCATCATACTGGCCAAATATTAATATAATTCTGTTAAAAGAAAAGGAAAACACAGTAAACAAAGTATAATAGGAAACTTACCCATCTTTTGTGATGTGAAGAGATAAGCTTTTCTCTTCTGAATCCCCACCTTTGCACTACAAAGTCGAGAACGAGGAGACTTGAACAATGGAACAAACAACTAAAATGAGCATGCACCGGTATGTATAGTTCTGACTAATTGAAATGCAGTCTCATTGTAAACAATTATATGGTTTCAGCTGTTGTTAACTATTATAAATTGTGAAGAAACAGAATTCTTCTGCAGCATTGCCGCTTCAAATGAAAATTAACTTACCTGTCTGTTGGCATGCTTTCTGTAGTTCTAGTTGGAAGTGATTGATATAGATACTATATATAGAACTCGTTTCTTCATATACAGTAGTAGCAAAATGTTTGTTACTAAATCGCAATATCGTTATAGCTGAATAAACTGAAACATGACAAGTCTCTACTCAAAAGAATATTTAAAAGCACGTACGCTTGGACATGTTAAACCATAGTATTGCCCTGGCTTACAAGCATCTCCAGCAATCCCAATCTCCTCCAACTTCTGCTTTAACATCCTCAACTGCTCCGATTCTAGCACTTGCTGCTCCGGGGTCTCCAAAACGACTCCAGAAACTAGACCAAATCAAATTAAAACATTTTTCAAAATCCATTAAAAACAGAACAGAAAAAAACTAGCCACATTCAATTATCTTCAAATGATGGTACCACTTCTATGATGCTGTTGCAGTAGTTTTGTGATACCGTATTTTTGTTTCTCTTTCTATAAATTTCAAATGAAGTTTTCTTCAAACAACGCTAAGAATTCAGCTTTACCATATTTTTTATCCAACGTGCATGATACGCGCATACTTAAGTATCAAATTAGATAAACAAACTTAAATACCAAATAAGTTTTTAAAGAAAGAAAATTGTTTAACAGAAACGCTATAAAAATGCTCTCTCCACTTAACTAGTTGTACCTTCATCTGACAGTCAATTTTCACTCATTAATAATGCAGCAAATAGATTATGAGGGAATAAAACATCAAAAAACAGAATTAAAAAACCTGGTCTGGGTATAGGCATGGCGGCATGAGGGTAATAACTCAACCCAGAGGTCATCCGATGAATTGGAGATATGGCTGTAGAAAATGCTATATTTTTCCTATTGAGTACAAAATAACCGAGGTTGCGAAGTTGAAGAAAAATGGGCCGCATATTTATGTGTATGTGTAACCGGCGTGAGTGTAGACTTAAGCAGAAGCAAGTATTTGGAGCCCATGAAAAATGCATTGTTGTAGTTGGAATTGGTGTTCAGAAACAGTCTCCTCTGAGGTAAAAGAAGCATATTTCAAGTTGCAAGGGTTTATTTTTATTGACAAGAAGAAGAAGAAGAAGATGCTTGAAATTCCATGGATGAGAAAGAAAGAGCAGAAAGAAAAGGCTTAAAGGAGGGTATACTTCGATTCGACGTTGCACTCTTCGGCGACTGGTTCTCTCTTTTTTTCTGCCTTCTTGAGAATGGAATAACATTTTTAAGTTTAATAATTGCGCTTGGGTATAGCTATTTAAGCTCCGATTTGATAATCATTATTTTAAAATTTTTATTTTAAATATATATTTTTTTTATCACATAAGTTCATGGAATAAAATATTATACTCGTAAATTCAAATTTTCTTTTTTACTTTTAATCATACATTATCTAAAGACTTATTATTCAAAACTTCGTCTTGCCCAAATTATGATTATTAAACAAGGGCTTAATAAATGAAATGCTAGTTGATTTGAAAGAGGGGCTTAATAAATAAAATTCTAGTTGATTTGATTAGCTTTTAAATTCGCCCTTGTTTAATGTGAATTAAAATTAGAATTAAGCTAGTTGTATAATTTTATTTGTACATCTCGACTGATATTTCACGATGCGTAAAAATTGAGGTGATTGATAACTTTAAGTGTTATTTAAATCAATGGTAAAAAGGTGTGTCACGCCATAGAATATAAACAAAACTGTCAATCAAGATATAAATATAGCTCTCAATTGGTTAGACCTTGTGTTTGCTTCCCAATGGTCATCAGTTCGAGTCCACTCGGGACTATTGAGGTGAGTATCAGATCGTAAACTTCAGGGCCCCATATGATTAGTCGAGGTGACACAAGTTGGCTCGAACATCCACGATTATAAAAAAAAGATATAAATATAGCAAAACTGTTAAAAAGACCCATTTTATGTGGATTAAAATTAGATTTTTAGTAGATTTTGATAAAAGTTATAAAATACATGGTTGAAAAATTGTGAATTCCATAAAATGTATAGTTAATATCAATTGTTGACTTTGACTTAAATTAAAATCTCTACCAAATGGTGGCTAAATTTTTAGTAGGTTTTGATAAAAATTAATAAGACGTGTGGTTGAAAAGTTTTGAATCGAATAAAATATTCGGAAAGAGAATAGAGAAGAATTGCATTACCAATAAATCTTTGAAAATCAGCCCTGCCTCAATTTTTCATTTTATAAGGTTTGGGATTGGGGGTAAAAAGCTTATTGAAACAATAGCAACACCAAATGAAAAATATGTCAAGCTTAGGAATAATAAAAGTTACTTTTTAAGTGATTTATTTATTTATTTCATACACGTTTTACCTTTTCCACTTTTAAATAAAAAAATTACTTTGACAGTAAAATTAAAGGCATTGAATACGAAGAGGCAACAATGAAAAATTGAGGTATTTTAAGATTATCAAGTGCTCAGGATGCAATCTTCTCACGAATAAGACTGTATAAATGATTTGCCTTTTTGAGATGTCACATTTCCGCATCTAACAATATGTCAACGGCACAGAATTGACTATCTTGGACACAATTTGCTGATTGATGCTTCATTCATAGCTTGTGGTTGATTGGGGTCTGTCTCTCTTGCCATGCTATCTGATCCACTTGAAATAAAATATGCAGGTCGTTGAGGAATAGGTAAATTGTCCGAGTAACTTTTAAGCATAAGAAGTATTGACGCCATTTTTGGTCTTTTATTGACATCTTCTTCGACACACAATAAACCAATTTGGATGCATCGAATGACTTCATCCAAAACATGAGACTCTTGCAAAGTTGGATCCATCAATTCCAAGGGTGCACCATTTCTCCAAAGCTTCCAAGCCTGTGCAAACAAAACTAGCCTTAAAACCTATTTGATTAATTTAGAAATTTTATTCATATTTATCTAATAATATGTTTTAATATGAACATTCGAGTACCCTAATTTACAAGTGGAATTGAACTTTGCACTCACATAGCTTATAAGGTCTCTTGTACCATGTGATTTGTAAAAG